TACCATCATGCTCCGGTTGCACATACTTGCTTACGTGTATTGACCGCTACACTCGGTGGCCAGAGGCATTGCCAATACCGGACAGCAGGACTCCAACAGTCGCCCGGGCTTTCCTGTTGCATTGGATCGCCCGATTTGGTGTCCCTGTCACTATCATCAGCGACCGCGGTGCCCAGTTTGAATCGTCCCTCTGGCAAGAGCTCATGCAGCTTCTTGGGTCTACTCGCCAGCGTACTACATCCTATCACCCGGCTACCAACGGCCTAGTGGAGCGTTTTCACCGCCACCTCAAGAGTGCCCTGATGGCGCGCTCCGGCACCCAAGCCCCATCTGAGTGGTTCAATGACCTGCCCTTCGTCCTGCTTGGTATCCGTACCTCTGTCAAGTCTGACCTCGAGTGTTCTGTGGCAGAAATGGTTTACGGCTCTTCCCTACGTCTTCCAGGCCAATTCCTAGATGCGGCACCTCCGACCGCTCCCATGTCACCGGCCACATTAATCCAGCAGTTGCGTAGCGCTTTATCCACTCTTCGTCCCGTTCCAACCAGTCAGCGCAGCAATCCTGTGCCGGTCTTTGTACCAATGGAATTGTCTTCGGCCTCGCACGTCTTTATCCGTCGGGACAGTGTCCGCAAGTCGCTACAGTTGCCATACGATGGGCCGTTTCCTGTGCTGTCTCGCTCTGAGAAATACTTCACTGTTAAGGTCAATGGTCGCTCAGACACGGTCTCCATTGACCGCCTCAAGCCCGCATTTGTGTGATTTCCGCCTCATCGCTGGCGCTGAATTGCCTTGTTTTTTTGTTTGTTTTTTGCGTTTGCCAGCTTTCGCGTGTTCTTTCCTGTTTCTTGGTTTTTTCACTATGTTTCCTCTTTTGTTTGTCCCGTTCACCGCTCAGTTTTTGCTGTATGACTTGTTCACTGGTGGGGGAGTAATGTGGCGTCTCCACTCAGTCACAGGACCCCGGCAATCAAATTTATTGTTTTCCACTGCTTTTCTCATTATATTTTATCGTTTCCTTATTTGCATTGCACGCCGTACTAACGAGTTGCCCAAAGTGTCAACCGCTGGTACTACTACGCATTTTACGGTAACGTTGTACCGTAGCGCATCATCCCTTTTACGGTTGCCATTTTCTTCTCTCCTCTTTTAGGGTTTTCTCTCTTGGTCCTAGTTTTTCCCTTTCAGTTACTCAAGAACTCCTTCCAGAATAACAATGCTTTTTCTCCTCTCGAATTTAGTGGTCTGAGGTCGCGAAACCGTCTAAAACTCCCGGTTTGTTACCTCATTATCCCACAGACCCTCGTTACTCTAGGGGTTGAACCTGGGTTTTCCCAATACGGTTCAAATGGTCGCAAGACCGGGACTCTGCCAACCGGGTTATGGTTGTAACTTACTTGTAGTTGTACATGTACTTGTAGTCAGGAGCACTACGCCGCAGTAGATCTACGCGTCTTCGCCTTGTATTGTAGATTATCCATATAAAAATCGCTCTGTGAGCGGTTCTGAAAAACCTTTACTGGTACTGCCCCGTCGTAAAAGTAAGAAATTAGAACTGGCCCATTGTCCCCCCAAACGCGAACTGATCCACCTAAATCGCGAATGACGGGACCCGAACGCACCAGTAGCACGAGGTCGGGAGGGCACAGGATCACGGCAATTATCATAGGGTAACACCAGTAGTAGCAGTAGAATTTATTATTTTGATAGGGAAGCCTACCGCTAGTACAGTACATGGCCTACGGTCCGGACCAACGTCCCCCGGCCATCTGCATCCACAGGTAGGAACCTCGTGCTACTGGTGCGTTCGGGTCCCGTCATTCGCGATTTAGGTGGATCAGTTCGCGTTTGGGGGGACAATGGGCCAGTTCTAATTTCTTACTTTTACGACGGGGCAGTACCAGTAAAGGTTTTTCAGAACCGCTCACAGAGCGATTTTTATATGGATAATTTCAGCTCTTTTTCCGTTCCCTCCCCACCCCAACCCCGAAGGTAAACATGATGACCACGCGCGCGATGTACTGTATGTAGCCATGCGACTGCAATAACACACTGATACATACCAGCCCTCCCCGCCTCGCTACCCCGCACACAGATACACAAACATGTGTATGCACACGGCACACACACGTGGCCACGCACACATACGCACATGCACACGGCACAAACAGGAAATTCTTCATGTATAATGCCATGCAAAGCAGTGGCCACCGTACTTGAGGAAGTCAGTTGTGAAACAAAAATAATTCAACTACAGCGTGTAGACAAGCTGACGGCCAAAGCACAACATGGCAAACATGACATTTGCCCAAGGATTGCAGTTTGCAGACCATGCCATGGAAGCAGCGAATACAGAATGTAATATCATACAAAGTGACAAGCAAGGACGTGGCCATCATACACCAGAAACTTGCAGAAAGTCACATATCCAACAGATAGAGAAGTGAACAGCAATCTGATACAGCCCACACACGACAAAGCGGACCTGATACTCGTCCCAGGATCGCAAGTGGCAAACCCTTTTCAATGCATAACATGCAGGTGTACGTTAGACGCATGAACATCTGACCGTGTCGCCAGCATACAATGTCATCACATGTTTACCCCACAAGTTACACACATGCACAGTAGAAGCACAATGAAAGCAATGGAAAAGTACGATGTGGTTGCTGAAGCATCTTCACACTTCAAATTCAGACTTCAATGTGGTCGTCACGGGATGATATACCTGCAAGATACAAGTGATGAAGAAAGAAAGCAGAAGGTCGTGAGGTAGGCTATGAGACACCACAAACGGTTCACCTACATGTCTGTTCAGGGCTAGTGCACTCACACGGAGAATTGTCATAATCGAGCATTTCCCAAACTGAGAAGTGCAATGAAATTCACTTGCATGCACAGGAGCAATTTTGCAATATTATGATGCGCAATTCGACACGATCTGCGATGCTGCGTGCGATGTGCCCTGCTGTCATGATAGTGACAGTCACCGCGGTATGTTTTGTCAACGTCGCCCGTGCACTCTTCTGTCAAGTCCAAAGTGCTCACATACTTGGCAATGTTTTTGCAGTGATTAACTTTTATCCTAGTTATGTCACGGGTAACTTTAATGAAGTACCCGCAGGCCGTGTCGATCTGCACATCTTCCACTCTCTCATGTACTTGGCCTGCTTTGTCTGTGTATTCATTTCATGTGCGATCCACAAAATCGACTAGACAGTGGGTGCAATACGCTCTCTACCTGAAGACGTTCTTCTGGCGACATCTCGCCATGTACTTGGCCTGGCTTTGTCTGTGTATCCATTTCATGTTCGATCAACAAAATCTCAAAGCACTACAGAGACTAGACAGTGGGTGCAATACGCTCTCTATCTGAAGACGTGAACCATTAAATTTTTTGGAAAAGTTATACGTACACCTGAAACGTAATGAAGTACAGGAATAGAGAGAGTGACTACAATACGCTCTCGACCTGATAACGTGAGTACAAGACACTCTCCACCTGATAACGTGTTAGTAGAAGGTAACAGGTCTACAGTCCCACCGTACCCTTCATCATTCCTCATTCACCATCGCGCGATACCCTGGCACACACTGGCAACATATCAATGGGGTGCCTTACCGTCGTCTAGAGGAGACGTCTTCGCAGCAATATTTTCCCTCCTGCGCATTCAGTCGCCGACGCGACAGCGTTCACGGGGCCGTTCCAGTTGCGGAAGACATTCGATTCATCGGGCCAATTCAGAAACAGGGCCGTGGACACACAGGGGGCAGAGGAGAGACATTGTTAGTGGACAAGAAATATGCAGTGGCAAGTGGCGAGTGCCGCATGGGTGTCAAGTTGTCATGCACAATTCAGCTATTACTTACGGTCCAGCTAGTCCTGCCATTGCTCGCTCGTCCTGGTTCCTCCTCGTTCGTCTTCCTGCATGCTGCACGTCTGCACTTCTCCTTCCCCACCGTTGGCTTTGCGGTACGGGGGTGGCGGAAGGAATTCCCACCATGTATCCATGTACATGAAGTCCCACCATGACTTTCCATGTACATGTCCACGGCCACGTCAGCAGTTTGTATAGTACCGGAAGGAGTTCCCACGATGTCTCCAAAGGCCTAGAGCGGACGTCTTTGCAGCAATTCTTTTCGCCCTGCGCATTCAGTTCGCCGACGATGTCTCCAAAGGCAAAGGCCTAGAGCCTAGTAGAGGGGACGTCTTTGCAGCAATTCTTTTCACCCTAGTACCCTGCACATTCACTCCGCCACACGACAGCGTTTACGGGGCCCCACGTCAGCAGTTCTCAACTATTTCGCGTACGGGATAGTCGCCGCGACAGCGTTTAAGGGGTCGTTCCAGGTGCAAAAGGTATCCATCAATGGCACTTTGCAGTATGGGGTACGGAAAAGGGGCCTCCTCGTTCGACTTCGTCGACTTCTGCAGTTCTCCTTCCCGTCAGGGGTACCGAAAGGGGCCTCCTCGCAGTTGTCCTTGCCGTCAGGTCCACGTCATGCAATTCTCAACTATTTCGCGTACGGGATAGTCGTCTTTGTCGTACGCGACATCGGCGTTTACCGAGTGGCATTAGCACAATTACAAGCAGACCGTTGACGGGGTCACGTGTCAAAAAAGTATCAACAACGTGTCGACTACGTGTCGACCACGTGTATAGCGGTACACTCAGCGGTACACTAATTCTCGTGCCATTCTCGTGTCACAAAACTGGAACATCGAGTACCAGTATGGAAAGGCTTCAGACAGGAAGCCTTTCCAATCTACATTCTGTCAAGCCTCCAATATATGCAATCCGCGCATATGACCAAGATCTGGATCAGGCGTTGCACACTCTGGGGGGTTATGTACTCTTGATATGACGTGGTTGACCGATTCCTGATATGGACACGTGTCCGGAAAATATGCGTACTTTGAAATGTACGGTAAGCGCGTGGGTTTATGAACTAGACATGTGTGTACACAGATTTCGCGTCAGTCCCATAATCACCAAGCCCATGCTGTCTCGAGCAAGGAAACTGCAAAGCCGTCTTCTTCACGGGTTGTTGTCGGAGCAGAAAGACTTCTTTCTTCATCGAGTAAGTAAAATCAGGTTGAACAACTTTCTTCTACTTCTTCTCTGCCTTAGAGAAGGAGTGAATAGTATCACCATTGGCACACAGAGCCAGTGCTAGAAGCTAGATATCAGGAGGCTTGGCGAATCAAACCACACAGGCACACGATACACGTTTGTTGTGGATTGAGTACGTTTCGTTGTCGCGTATTGTTCCTTGTCGTATAACTTATAAGGCCACCCTGCCGTCGGGGTCATCGAAGCTTCTGACCCAAGCTGTAAAAGTGGAAGATCCGAAACCATGTATCAGACGAAGCCAAGCAGCATGTCGGGTATGTCCTACCACATTCGTCGTGTGTCCAGTACTGATATTATCATGAAAGGTCTGAACATCAGCCAGGGAGAAACCATCACAAGTAATGACGACCTCTGGCAAAGGTAAGCATAGAGGGGAGGGGGTGCATGGTCCCTTATCTACAACTTGTAGTTTGGCTTCCTGTTTGTGCCGGCTTCCACATCGCTTCCAGGAAATTTGAAAATACAGTGTGATAATAGAGTCATGACGTACATGTATATAGCACATTACAGTTAGCCCTTTTGCGTGGGAGTGGCATTGCAGTAATAGTGTGCACTGCATGTGTGTGTGTGCGTGTGGTGTGTATGTGTGCATGTGTGTGTGTGTGTGTGTTTGCGTGTGTGCATGTGTATGTACATGTGCACCATGTTGATATCGATCCCTGAACAGCCTTCAGTCGGCGATGCTGGAAATCTTCAAGGCACGCGTAGACAGTCCACTACCTGACGTGAATGTAGCACACCTCAACGAGACATGCCGGTGAGAACTCTATCCCAAACCTGCTGCATCTGCTGTATACCCGACTGTATACCCGACTGCATACCCGACTGTGTACCCGACTGTGTACCCGACTGTATACCCGACTGTATACCCGACTGTGTACCCGACTGTATACCCGACTGTATACCCGACTGTATACCCGACTGTATACCCGACTGTATACCCGACTGTATACCCGACTGTATACCCGACTGTATACCCGACTGCCTACCCGACTGTATACCCGACTGTATACCCGACTGTATACCCGACTGCATACCCGACTGTGTACCCGACTGTGTACCCGACTGTATACCCGACTGTATACCCGACTGTGTACCCGACTGTATACCCGACTGTATACCCGACTGTATACCCGACTGTATACCCGACTGTATACCCGACTGTATACCCGACTGCCTACCCGACTGTATACCCGACTGTATACCCGACTGTATACCCGACTGGGCAGGGATAGTACAGTACTGTCGGATTCCGAAGAACTGTGTGTGTGGTGGTGGTGGTGGGGGGGGGGGGGGGTGGGGGGCGCATGTCTGCCGCCATTTCACAGGCCAAGTGTACACGAGTGCAAGCACAGTATCATTGTGGTGTGGCCTGGTGGCGAATGGTTTGATTAGCGCATCAGAATGGTAGAATTTCTGGATCACGTTTTTTTAACTTCTTGAAAGTACTTTGAATCGCTAGTAAGCAAGAGCTTCATGGGGGGGGGGGGACATGCTGCAGTGTACAGTGTATGGGCATGCTTTTTGAACGACTTAACCGGGAGCCTAGGTAAAGGAGGTTCCACGGTGCATTCTGCTCGGAAAACACTCTTTGAATCTCTTTCCCATCTCCTCCTTTCTTCCTTCTCTTTCCTGTCTGACCTTCTCTGTGGTTATCCGTGTTTCTCCTTGCCTCTCTCATGGTCTGGATTGTGATCATAGGCGTCTTATGCGTGCTGATTCCAGGAACACTATATTCTCGCGCTTTGAGGTGAGTGGCGTACAACGGTGCATGTCCTGATGTTCGACTTTCCCCTTGCTCTTCGGTCTATGCAATTATTAATTTTAGCAGTCATGAGTGTGTGGTTGTCACGGTGTGAACATCACTCTGACGTTACTGCATGTGTATGAATGGTTGGGTGTGTACGTGTGTATGTGGTGCCATGTGCGCATGCCATTGGATTCCTTTGTTTCCCGCTTTGCAGGATACCTTGCTAATCAAATGCTTCATAATTGTCCGGGATTCGATCTTGTCCTCTCCTAGTAAGTTTGTGTGTGTGTGTGTTTGTGTGTGTGTGTGTGTGTGTGTGTGTGTGTGTTTTTGGGGATTTCAGGGGGTGTCGGCCGTTGGGCGGTTCAATAGCCAATTGAGTCATCTTTCCAAGATTCCTTTTGAGTCTCTCTCCCCTCTCCCGGGGAGACCCACGTGACCAGTTTTGGCAGTGTGCAACAAGTAGTACAAGTGTGTGTGTGTGTGTGTGTGTGTGTGTGTGTGTGTGTGTGTGTGTGTGTGTGTGTGTGTGTGTGTGTGTGTGTGTGTGTGTGTGTGTGTGTGTGTGTGGCGTGTGGCGTGTGGCGTGTGGCGTGTGGCGTGTGGCGTGTGGCGTGTGGCGTGTGGCGTGTGGCGTGTGGCGTGTGGCGTGTGTGGTGTGTGTGTGTGGTGTGTGTCCCATATGGTGCAGTGGTATGTGCAGCGATTTCCAATCGATAGGTTGCGGGTTCGATTCCCGACGATTATGGTCACACACGTCTTTCTTCTCTTTCTCAGACTCCTCCTGACTTTTCTTTCATTCTCCTGGGTGGTTACCAACAGCCAGTGCATGCCGGAGTACATGTATGTGGTGTGATGTGTGTGCGTTAAAAAAATGAAAAAAATGAAAAAGACCAAAAGTAGGGATTCACTGGCCAGAAAAAGCCACTTCATAGCTGTGTGGTGTAGACCAGGCTGAATAGTGGCGGTCAATTCTTCAGCCTTGCAAGCTGTTGAATGGTGCAATCCCAGCACAAGCTGCTATGGCTTCTGCTGTAGCATCGCTATCATCGCCTCCGGCAATGGGCGTCCAATGGTCCAATGGGGTGGTGTAGTGTGGTGTAGTGTGGCGTAGAGTGGTGTAGAGTGGTGTAGTGTGGTGCAGTGTGGTGCAATGTTGTGTAGTGTGTGGTGTAGTGTGTGGTGTAGTGTAGTGTAGTGTGGTGCAGTGTGGTGTACAGTGGTGTACAGTGGTGTACAGTGGTGTAGTGTAGTGTAGTGTAGTGTAGTGTAGTGTAGTGTAGTGTGGTGTACAGTGGTGTAGTGTGGTGCAGTGTGGTGCAATGTTGTGTAGAGTGGTGTAGTGTGTGGTGTAGTGTGGTGTAGTGTGGTGTACAGTGGTGTAGTGTGGTGTAGTGTAGTGTGGTGTAGAGTGATGTAGAGTGGTGTAGAGTGGTGTAGAGTGGTGTAGAGTGGTGTAGAGTGGTGTAGAGTGGTGTAGTGTGGTGCAGTGTGGTGCAGTGTGGTGTAGTGTGGTGTAGAGTGGTGTAGTGTGGTGTAGAGTGGTGCAGGCATTGGGCCCTGTAACAGTGAAATCTAAACATTACACTCTGCATGTACATGTAGGGGGGGGGGAGGAGGTTGCGAAATTCTGAAGCCAGATCTGCCTCCACAATTCCACGAAACCTGCAATGAGCAGGTGCGTCGGAACGAGTTTGGAAGTGGGGCGGCCATGGAAGGGGGTCCGGGGGTCCTCCCCCGGGAAAAAAATTTCAAAAATTAAAGCCAATTGCAAGCATTTCCGGGCATTTGGTGCCATTTCAGTGTACGGTAACTACAATGAAAGACTTTTTGATTCTGCAAAAAACCAAGAAGATGCTACGATCGGGGACAAACATTACCCTCCCCGGGGAAAAAAATTCAAAAATTGAAGCCAATTGCAAGCATTCCCAGGCATTTGGTGCCATTTCAGTGTACATGGACTTTTGATTCTGCAACAAACCACGATCGATCGGGGACAAGGATTTGCCACGTTTGCGCTGAGATCATCGCGCTTTGTTGCAGTGTGCTAAAAAAAAAAAAAAAAAAAAAAAAAAAAAAAACGGCCGAAAAAGTGGGGCGGCCGCGGCCCGGCCATGGCCGCCCCGGCCGGTGCGGTTCCGACGCCCTTGGTGAGTGCTAACATGCCCTGCTCTCTTGTTTCTTCAGTCAACACCTTTCTAGACTGCTTGGCAATCTGGTGGACACGTTTCTATCATCGCATCTTGCCGCTAGTCTGTATCATCTTCACACCAGTACCGGTATGTTAACTCTGGCCATTTCAGTGTTTGTTCAATGTCACTACCTTGATATCAGGTACTCATAATTATATGCTGTTTTATGTGCTGCTGTATGCAGTGGAGCAACTTACTGAAAGGTGAGAGATTCTCCCCGAATCATTAGTATGGCTTGAAAGGGTACAAAGATTCACTCACCCAGCCGCCCGTCTGCCTCTCCCTGGTATGTATGGAAATCACCCTGGCAATTTCTCTGCCATTCAACAGGTTGTGTTTGCCATATACTGTGACGGTGTTGTGTGCTCGTTCTCTGCAGACGTTTGGCCTCACGGTGCGGCAAATGTGCTTGAAAGTTTTCCGCGATGTCATCCTCAGCAAAATCCAGCACAGACTAAAAGGTACGTGTCAGTGCATTAAAACGGGCAAGAGTGGGTTTGATTGGCTGTAGAACTGGTGGTGTGTTGCTTGCAAGCAATATATGTGTGTGTGAAAGCTGTTTCCACTACACTTTCATAGCGGAGCTTCAGTTGGACCTGAATGATATGATTGTAATGCTCTGGTGGCGCAGTGCATTTTATCATTGTTGCATGATTTTCATTCTACCTTTTTCTTCTTCTCTTCTCTCATTTCTTCTTCTCTTCTGATTTATTCTCTCTCCCGCTCTGAAGAGCTTTTTAGCCTTCACCGTTTTCGCTCAAACCCAGGCATTGGCCCACAGTGGCAGTCGCTTCCTTTTTCTTTTTGTTTTCTTTTCCCCTTTTACTTTCTCCGTCAATGCCTAAAAAAACAGTCGAGACGGTTTTTTACCCACCAGTTTTTTGGTGCGAATTACTTTCCTCTCTCTCTCTCTCTCTCTCTCTCTCTCTCTCTCTCTCTCTCTCTCTCTCTCTCTCTCTCTCTCTCTCTCTCTCTCTTCATCGTTGCAGTGTTAGCTAATCATAAATGATGTACTGTTTGTCCTCACCAATCCCGTACAGACTCCCTGGGACATGAAGATGGAATTCCTATCGAGGTAGTTCAGATGCTGCTAACACTTCAGGTACAGTGATGTTTGCTGGTGACTGCATGTACATGTACCAGTACTTGACAAGACACCTGTTCAGCAGACCAGTAGCACAAAATCCCAATGCTGTGTTCACCTGTACTTTGTTCCAGCTAGACAAGCGCCAGCACAGTGTCACACCATGCAGCATTGTATACAGCTGGATATGTGCCAGCAGTCCCAGCGCAGTGCCACATCATGCAGCATGGTAAAAGCAGAAGTACATGTACCGGCAAATATCAAAATCTCAGTACTTGTAGATTTAGTTATCAATGCTGAGCCAAATAGAGACAGAGACTTTGACCGAATGGCACCACAAACCTGGTGGTCGCTGTTTCATTGCCAACCTTGGCGGTGACACCTGACAAGTGTGTACTGAGCAGGCGACTCCAAGTTGCACATCAGAGGCTCCGCTCCATGTAACACTGTAGTGGCCCTACATTTTTACTGCATAAATAACCAGTTTTCAAAGCTTTTTTTCTTTTCTTTTTTCTTTCGTTCCTACACCATAACACGCATGCTCGGTCAGTCCTTCCTCGGCCTTGTTTTTACTGCATTTTCTGCGTAGTTTGCATTGCATGCCTCTTCGAGTTTTTCCAAAATATCTCCACGATGGACGCTGTTTTGGATTTGCTGCATACCCTGGCGCAGCCAGAGGTACAATCTGCCATCGCGGCATCCGCCCACTCCCGCGGAAAACAAATAGGAGACACCGTTTCGGGGAACGGTATACAAATTTCCTCAAATTCCGCACCCACGGGCGGATTAGAAACTGGTCGTGGCACCACCGCAGCCTCTGGCGGTCAAGAAATGGAGGAGGCTCGGAACTCTTCCAACAGGGAAGGGAACCAGGATGACTCTCGGGTAGATGGCGGGGAGCCTTTTCGTTTTGTCTCATTGGCCGAACGTTGTTCGGCAAGCCTCGGTTTTTCCACGGACCGCCATTCCAGCAATGGCGGCCGGGGCCATATTAGGGGTGACGTCACTGACGTATCTGGGTCACGTGATTTACGTACAGATAGATCTAGATCATGCTCACGATCACGGGACAGATCTCCACCCCACTCACGATCTCCCCCTCGTTATCGTTCTGCTTCATGTGAACGACGTACACGTAGGTCTACTCGCCATATGGCCATAGATCGGCTGGTGCTACACGTACACGTAGATCTAGATCTAGATCTCAATCTGCGGACAGATGTCGGTCAGGGTCACGCTCGGGTGCTACGCACGAGTCCCGCCTGCGTGCCCGGGGACGACATGGCCATGGGTCACCCAGACGGCGCGAGTCGCACCGTTTCACCAGGCACCGAGATAGTTCTGGCACTAGTTCTAGCTCTGGTACGTCAGAATCTGACGATAGTGACTCCGACAGTCCTAGTGGCACATGTCCGTCATCCGACGACTCGGCTGCCCAAGAGCATCGCCGTGGTAGCGGCGCGGGCTTCGATCCTAAGGGGTTAGTGGACGACTCTGTATGGTCTCCCCCCTCGCACATGGCCTCATACCTACGGGAGCACTGCCGTGGTTCCCTGTCCTTCGCTGAGCGTCGACGGGTGCGGAAACTGTGTCCCCGACCGGACGTGGAGGAAACGCGATGTCCACGCGTGGACCCGTTCTTGGCGGATGTCCAGGGCCTGGCCAATGCCAAGAGAGCGGATAGAATGCTGGCCAACATCCAACAAAAGGTTACGGACGTTTTCCGTCCCCTGGCCGCGCTCTGGGCTGCTATTGAGCAGGGCCGGCCGGTCCACGAACTGACCGAGCTGGTCCAGATGGCGATCGTCATGACGGGCGACGCCTCGAATGTATTGTCGGAGACACGCCGTCAGCGCCTCATGGCAGCGCTGCCAAAGAGATGCCCGAAGAGCCTGCTGCAGGGCTTGCGCCCTTCCGGTGATCTCCTCTTCGGTGATGGATTTTCCCGGGAGTATAAACGGAAGTGCCAGGAAATGGACGTATTCCAGCCACGGCCTTCTGGGCGGCGCCCGGGGACCGCACAGGACCGGTCGCAGCCTGCCCATCCTGACCGTTTTCTGGTCGTACCGTGTACCGGTCAGATCCAGGGCGGTTCCGCCCTTACGACAGGGCAGGACGGGGTCATGTCACCCGCCGGCCTGAGGAGCATTTCCGCCAGCCAGCAAAAAACGGCCGGGGCCAGCCCTTTCGCGGGCGCCCTCGAGGTCGTTGACGACCTCCCCGTGCCTGGCTGCCTCACGGAAGCCCCTACCCCCCAGGTAGCGGGCCGATTGGAGCATTTTGCGGCAGCCTGGCGAGACCTAACGCAGGATGCGTGGGTGTTGAAGACCGTCTCAGGGTACTGCTTAGACCTCCACACCGTTCCTTGCCAGCGGTCCGCTCCGACAGAGATGTGGTTCCCTCCCGAAAAATGCGCCATCGTCCACCAGGAGATAGCGGATCTCCTATCAAAGGGTGCAATTCGACCGGTGAGCCCATCTCCCGGCCAGTTCGTGAGTCGGTTATTCACCGTACCCAAGAAGGGTACCACCGCCGAACGTCCAGTCATCGACCTCCGCCACCTGAACGAGCACGTGCGGTACGAGCACTTCCAGGTGGAGGGTCTCCACCTTGTTCCCCTATCCGTCCGAGAGGGCAATTGGCTCACAAAGCTAGACCTCAAGGACGCGTACTTCACCGTGCCGATCCATCCCCAGCACCGCCGGCTCCTGCGCTTCAGTTGGGAGGGCCAACTCTACGAGTTTCAGTGCCTACCGTTCGGCCTGTCCAGCGCCCCCCGGGTATTCACGAAGCTGATGAAGGTCCCCATCAGTGTTCTTCGTCGTCAGGGCATTCGTCTCATCCTGTATCTTGACGACCTTCTCCTGATTGCCGAGTCACGGCCGGCCGCCGTGCTGCAGACGCAGCAGGCCATTCAACTCCTAGAATCTCTGGGTTTCGTAATCAATCGGAAGAAGTCCATTCCCGAGCCTACGCAACAGCTCGAGTTCCTAGGATTTCAGTTGAACTCTGTGGCCATGACGATGTCTGTGCCGATCGACAAGGCGCGGAAACTCCAGCAGGAGTGCCACCGAGCCCTGTCTCAGCCCTACCTGTCCATCCGCGCATTGGCCTCACTCCTGGGCAGGATGGTTGCGTGCTCCCCAGGCATGTTTCTGGCTCCACTGCAATTCCGCCACCTTCAGCAGTTGAAGATTGCAGCCCTTCGTCGCCATCAGAGCTACCTTGCCACGGTACGCCTGACGCCGGAAGCCAGGACGGAGCTGACGTGGTGGGCAGCAGATCTAGAAACTTGGAACGGTCGCTCGATTCTCAAACCTCCCGCTCAGCTCACCATATTCTCCGATGCGTCCCTGCTCGGCTGGGGAGCGGTGTGCGGCACAACGAGTACTGGGGGTCAATGGTCCCCTACCGAGGCCAATCTCCACATCAATGCTCTGGAATTGATCGCTGCCTCATTCGCGGTGAAAGCCTTTCATCACCGGGCCTCGTACCGTCCTCTGCACATCAAGTTGTTGATCGACAACACGACAGCCGTCAGCTACATCAACCGCTTAGGCGGCACGCATTCCCGTCTCCTGTCCCAGATCGCTTGCGACCTCTGGAGATGGGCGGTCCAACACGATATCCGCCTCCAGGCGGAATATGTGCCGAGCGAGGAGAACCCAGCGGACCATCCTTCTCGGGGCTCCCTCTCCGAGTCCGGCGCCTGGCGCCTGGACCCTGCTCTGTTTCGCAGGATTCAGAGGGCAGCTCCTTGGACCTTGGTGCTAGACCTGTTCGCATCTCGACTGAACACGCAACTTCCCGCCTTCTATGCTTGGAGGCCGGATCCGGAGGCTCTCGCTCTAGATGCGTTCTCTCAGAATTGGAGTCTCCCTCATCAGGACGCGGTGTATGCCTTCCCACCATTCTGCCTACTGGACAGGGTGCTTCATCGTGTGGCCTCACTCCATACTTGCCGGATGATACTGGTCGCACCAGTATGGGATACGCAGCCATGGTACGCGACTTTGCTGCAGCTGTTGGTCGATTTCCCCATGCTTCTGCCCACATTCGACTGTCTGCTACTCTCATCCTCGGGCCATCCACACCCACTGGTACTATCCCGCCACCTGCGCCTCGCCGCATGGCCTATCTCCAGCAGCGCTTCAATGCAGCAGGACTTTCTCCACAGGTCGTGCGACTCCTCTCCTCCTCTTGGCGGTCATCAACCAATGCCGCTTACGCATCGGCATGGGAGCAGTGGCTGGGCTGGTGCAGTCAACGGTCAGTGGATCCCGTTCGCCCATCTTTAGCTATGGTGCTCCAGTTCCTGGCCGATTCCTTTGAGGACGGCCGCAGCTACAGTACCCTGAATGTCTGTCGGTCAGCGATGTCTGCTACCCTGCCTAAGCTGGATGGTGCACCCATTGGCCAGCACCCGTTGGTGGTGCGTTTGCTCCGTGGTATCTGCCTAGAGCGTCCGCCGCAGCCGCGGTACTCACATACTTGGGATGTGGGTATTGTCACTTCTTGGCTCTCTAAACTGCCTGCCAACACGGACCTGTCTCTCCCTGTCTTGTCTGGCAAGTTGGCCATTCTGATGGCCTTGACTGCTGCTCGGCGCTCTTCGGACCTCCACCGGCTAAGCCTCAACTCTCATCGTTTCTCTGCCGAGGGCGTGGTGTTTGACTATCTCACACCCCCTAAGCAGCATCGCCCTGGTTCGGAACCAGCCCGACCTGTCACCTTTGCTGCCTTTCCTGTGACTCCTGCACTCTGTGTTGTGGAGTGCTTCAGGGAGTACTTGCGTCGGACCGCCGACCTGCGACAGGCATCTTCTGCACATCTGTTCCTCAGCACGAAGCGTCCGCACCACCCTGTCACCTCTGCAACGATTGCTCGTTGGATCAAGCAGGTTATGTCCAAGGCTGGTGTGGATACATCATTGTTTGGTGCCCATTCCACTCGTGCCGCTTCTACGTCTGCTGCGAAGCGTAAAGGTATGTCGACAGTGGATATCATGAAATGTGCTGACTGGAGTTGCGCATCCGTGTTCCAGCGCTTCTATTTCAAGCCGTGGGAGGGTGAGACCAGCGGCTCTTCCCCATCGGCACATCAGCAGTTCTGCCGCTCCGTGCTTGCGCCGTAGCGCTACCAATGTTGGCCTGGCCAGGTTCTGAGTCTGTGACTTTGTGTCTACCTCAGTAATCCGATTGCTGTCTGTGCCTGGCTTTCTCAATGCCGTTCTATCTGTGCATGTGTATAGTACACGGCTTTCCTCATTTATTCTTCCTTTTGCCATTACGCCTGTGTCCTTGTTCTGGACAGGCCTTTTGTCACTTTCTGCGGCAAGTTTCCGTGGCACCGGTTTACCCTGTTCCTTACTGATTTGGTGGTGTGCATGGTGTGCTGCATGCCCGGTTGGGGGTTTTCATGGCCTGCGTTGGTCCCTCTCTCCGGTCTTGTGGTGTTCGCTTCACCTCTGATTTGAGCGTTGAAATCTACAGTGTTACATGGAGCGGAGCCTCTGATGTGCAATTGACGATTATACAAGGAACTCTGTTCTGATGTATAATCATAATTGCATGAAGAGGTGAAGCGAAATGTAACACTGTAGTCCCTCCCGCCCATCCCATTTACTTATGCACCGGGGAGTGCCCATGGGCTTTATCTTGGCCATTGACGCGTTCAAACAAGGCCGAGGAAGGACTGACCGAGCATGCGTGTTATGGTGTAGGAACGAAAGAAAAAAAAAAAAAAAAGCTTTGAAAACTGGTTATTTATGCAGTAAAAATGTAGGGCCACTACAGTGTTACATTTCGCTTCACCTCTTCATGCAATTATGATTATACATCAGAACAGAGTTCCTTGTATAATCGTCAATTATTTGCCGCCAGTTTTTGGTTGTTGGTTTTCTCGTCGGCCATGGGATGTCATGCCAGCAGAGGCATCAGGCCATCAGCAGCAACCAATACCCCTCATGCCCACCTATTCCAGTGTGCAAAATTACTGTATGTCCTTTTTGTTTTACTTCACTCTCTTAGCCATCGACAAATGTCATTTTGATTACACACATGATTTATGGTAATCTCCTTGTACCAGTGGGCAGAAGAATACCGCTCGCCTGTACTTGTTCTAACTCTGCTCTCTCTGCTTCATTGCTTTCCTCTTCCTGCTCACATGTGCACGCACGCATGTACACAGAGTGTACCGGAAACCGTCACAGAGAGCTATCGGCAGACTGAAGAGCTATCGGGCCTGCTCATCCGGCCCTACCTGCAGAACATGAAGGCGATTGGCGAGCAACTGGACCAGGAGCTTACAGGTGAGAGCATGCAGATACGTGAGTGTTGTATCCTGTGGCTGAAACGCTGTGAACTGAGGACTTGACGGAGAAACAAGGTTTGATTGTATAGCCACGGAGCTTGCTTCTTTTGTTATCCTTTGTCCACTTCGTTGCAGCGGTGGTGCGGCCTTGTGCCATTGGTGGCTGGATAATAGTGTAGTGTGATTTCAATGTAAGGGCGAGGACACCGGGGTAGTATTTTTACTTTCAGATGTCCTATTCGGGAGCTGTACTGGGAAGTGTGCATAGAGTGAATTTGGATGGTTGCCGCCCATAGTACTCGAGCCTCTTTGATTTCATTTGCTATTCCTGTGTGTCCTGTAGTCGACGCCCACCCACCCAGTGTGTCCAGCTCGCACTTCCCAAGGCGTGCCAGTGCGCCCATATCTGGTATGACTCTTCTGGAGTACGGTTCCCGGGCAGCACAGCTGGATCGAGACACCCCCAAGCTGGGCCCGGTCAACGAATCGCGTGCCGTCATGTGACACCACACGGCACGGCCAGGTCTCCGCATCCAGTGGAGTACCCTACTTCCAATTGCCCCATGGGTTACGCACACCTCTGCCAGTGTTCCCGGGTGGTTTTCTTAGCACGATGCTGCATAGCAGATGGACACTTTGCTGATGTAACGTGTATCTCTCTCCCAGTCTATCAGTCCGGCTCGGCTGGTTTCAGCTTGTTTCCACTGCAGTCCTAGTGCTTGGCCATTGCGTGTAGGCCTCAGCTCTTGTCCACATTCCGGTCTTGTACGGACCTATGCCAGCAGCTGGGTCTCAACACCCGGCGGCCAGGTGCAGTCTGCAGTCCAGCACTGTGCTCTGCTCGGCGCAAGTAGTCGTGCTTGTACAGCGTATCTGAACTAATGGATGATGCTCAACGTGCTATGCTGAGCATTCAAAATTCGACTTGAAGTAACCAAATTCTTTTTTTTCTCTTCTAGATTTTAGCCAACCGTTCTGTGCCAATAGAAAGAACATCACATCATAGAGGTTATTTTTGTATATTGATATTTATTCACGCTTGCAGAATGTTGTGAGGAGAAGTTTTAGACACTCCTCAAGTATTGCCAAGGAGTCCTGCTCCGGGCCCTGTACTGCTGCAGCCTCGTTATGTCGTTATGTCTTATGCAAGTAGATAGACATGAGCTCTACCACTTTCGCGGACTTTGCATAGTTTCTCAAAATATTCTTGACACTGCTGGTCTCTCCCATGGCAAATAGCTGCCTCCTCCGCTGCCCCCTCCCCACTTTCTTGCCCTCCTCCAGCACTCGCTACAAGTATGTTTTGTACTGTGTATCATTTGAGCGTGCACTATGCTGTTATCTTCATCTACATGTATCTTCTTGGGCCCAGGTTATCAATCCTCATTCATTGGCCAGTCAATTCAAATAAGCATTTTCAACTGTTCGCTTGTGTTCTATCGCATGTTACTTGTTATGGCACGGCAGATATTATAATTATTTATATCGTTTTCAAATGTCTGATTCAGTTGAATCAACGGAAACCGCAACCACTTTTGCATGCATATTTTTTTAAATTTTGGCGACTCATCTATTCTTGTACTCTCTTGCCCATTTTGCACCACATAATCCTTTGACTTTGAGCTCTCTCCGCTTTTTGCAGTGGGTTTCTTTAGAATCTCATCCACCTCGTTGATGGTAACCTGCATGTGTTGTCCAGGCATGTGTGTGTGTGTGTGTGTGTGTGTGTGTGTGTGTGTGTGTGTGTGTGTGTGTGTGTGTGTGTGTGTGTGTTGCCTTTGGGTGGAACTGTCGAATGCGTGGACAGCTTTCGCTATCTTGGCTGCCAGATCACTCCTGATGCTAGGAGTAGCTTTGATGTCTCTCGCAGGATCGCCGCAGCTTCGGGTGCATTTGGCGGATTGAAGAAAGCTGTGTTTGCGAACTCTGAGTTTCCTAGCGGTCTCAAGCGTGTTGTGTACGGAGTCACTGTGTTGGCGGTACTCCTCTATGGTGCTGAGAACTGGACACCGAGGCAACGGGATCTTCAGCGTCTGGAGTCGTTTCACCTGCGATCTATACGCATGGTCCTGGGCATCAGTCGGGCGCACCAGATGGACGAGCACGTGACAATCCTTCAGGTACGGCAGTGGTGGGGTGACATGGAGCAGGTCTCTGACAAGGTCCGGCGCCGTCGTCTCCAATGGCTGGGCCACCTGGCTCGCATGGATGACCGTATTCCCCGCCAATTGCTCTTTGGTGCCTTGCCGTCTAAACGACCTCCACATGGCCCCCGGAAGAGGTGGAAAGACCCAATCAAACATGACCTGACGGCGGTGTCCATTGGCATGAATGAGTGGCTTGAAACAGCAGATGATAGGTCTGAGTGGAGAACCAGGTGTCAGGATGGAGTCTACAGTGTGGTATGCTCTCGTGTACAACCTGCCGTGAAACCACTCCTGTGTATGGTCTGCACACGCCGTTTCAGCCGTCCTCAAGACATCGCTAGACATAGTTGCACCTCCCGTCGCTCCGCAAAAGCAAAAAAAAACAAACAGTGAAACAGCCGTTCACGTCCCGCCGGACTCGCAGGGCCTCATGTCGCGTCCCGGAGACAGCACTCCTTCAAGCCGCCCCGCCCCGTTTGGGGACACATAGCCAATCGTGGCAGTGGGCGAAGGAAGGAAGGTGTGTGTGTGTGTGTGTGTGTGTGTGTGTGTGTGTGTGTGTGTGTGTGTGTGTACGTGCACGCGGAGGGGGGGGGGGCACGCACGTGTGCATGTGTGAGTGCGCATGGAGGGGAGAAATATCACTCCACCCGATGGAAATGACAATCGTTGATTTACCTATGTAGACTATTCTTGCTATCATGAATCATCTAGACCAAGGGAGTACTCCTTGGTTTGGACAGTATCCCTGGTTTAGACTTTCCATTGATACTCGGGGGAAAGGGGTATTGGATCCCACCAGTTCAATCCGGGACCCCCAGAATCGAATGAATACCGTCTACTAGTATCCTCATGATCATGATTTATCGGTTGCCTATGGCGTATGGCTCGCATATGGAGTCTGACTGGACCGGGGATATCCTTGACCTTGCACTCAAATTTTTAAAAAAGAATTATTTATTTATTGCGTCATCATCCTAGCTCAGATCATCAGACTTCAGAGATTACAGAAATTTTGATGGTTCATAATCATTATCAAGACTGACAAGAGTCCATAAACAGTGTTTATGCACTCTTGTCATTATCAGGTTGGCAGATTGGTGGGGTTGGAATCAGAATGCGAATCGATAAAGTGGAGATCGCCAGTCGCACAAACCTCACTCGCTGGTCTGAAGTCACACAGTTCTTGTCTTAAAACGCATGCACCAGTAGGTGAGCTTGTATTCAATACAACCTGCAAAGTACATGTAGAGTCTAGAGAGGAGGCCGAGGAGACAGACTTCGACGAGTTTTTAGTTGTCCAAAAAATTGCTTCATTTAGCATTTGTTGAGAATATTGAGTTGACAATTTGGAATCACAATGTCGATCTATTGGAGCAAAGCACAGGCGTACTACCGCAAGAATTATCGCACCCTTCGGCTCTTCGGACCATTGACGGTAAGCGTGCTCACAACAGTATGAACACTTGTGTGTTTGTGTGTGTGTGTGTGTGTGTGTGTGTGTGTGTGTGTGTGTGTGTGTGTGTGTGTGTGTGTGTGTGTGTGTGTGTGTCTGTGTGTGTTATAATCAGCATAATGCATAACTGGACAGGCAAAATGTATAATTGGACAGGCAAAATGTTCATTGATCATTCATGTAAAGGATTCGTGTCCTTCACTATTACCAAGAGTACATAACCCCAGATGTGCCGAAAACAAAACACGGTATGATATGGTATACTAGTATTGTATGAATTACTACACACGTGCGTACATGCACTACTAGTACTACATGTGACTACAATCATGTACTTTCAAAGTTTTGTGCAGTTGGGGCCAAAGAAATACGAACGCACTGCACCAAAGCCAACATTCCACATTAGCCTGCATGCATGTCCGGTGTGGTTCACGAGGACATTTTGTTCATGTGTCTGTAGTGCGGAGGGGAGGGGGGGGGGGGGCAATGCTTTGGCGCCCCAATCGTTGTGATACAGCAGAAGTGTAAACAAAACATTACCAAAGGTCATAATAATGATATTCACTGGTTTGAGGGAAAGACACAAACACATAATTATAATTATTGCTTTTCCCGGCTCTCCGGAACCCTTTTCTTGGCCTGCTGAAGGTGTCGGGAAAACCTTTCCGTGTTTCTGCCAGTGTAATCATGTAGGCATTTTGCCAGAACATTCCATTCTGCCTGTTTTCACAACAGTGTGTTTGTTGAGATCACTCTGATCCATTCCAGGGCTGGGGAGGGTTGTTTTTCAAGCGTGGCTTGCAGACATGGATGTATGCCATTGACTCGTGAGGAGTTTTTCAAGGGAAGTTTTTTGAGTGTGACAATATGCCAAGTATGTTGAATTCTTGTTGACTTGGTCAGAGTGAGCGTGTAAGGGAGATCTACAATATCACTAGACACCCTTAGCAAACAACGGTAACGCTATTTTTTACGGTACTCGTACCTTGATCACCCAAATAGCGTTGAAGCTGCAGCGTAAAAACGTTATGGGGGCTGATTTATCGTTGTGACCAACGGTACGTGTTTTGGCCAAATATTGCATAGTCCGTACGCATTTCACCTTGTATCGCGTATATGGTGACAAAAATGGTTGTACCGCGCGAACTAAAAGCTATTCTCGTGGCAACAGCGTACTAAAAATAGCGTGCATCTTGCTAAAGGTCGAGCCCAAATCACGTTATTTTCCCCCTTACGGTAATACCGTTACAACATAACGTTGTTTGCTAAGGGTGTCTACTACCTTCTTTTCACTGCAGTTCCAGATTCCCCGTCAGTTCGGGTTTTGTATTTCTCATCATGTCCTGATGCCATCAGTGGAGATATCAATGATGATATCAGTACTGTAGTGATATCAGCGGTGACATCAATAGTGAAATCAGTGGAGATATTAGTGGTCTGGAGATATTAGTGGTCTGGAGATATTAGTGGTCTGGAGATATCGGTGGTCTGGAGATATCAGTGGTCTGGAGATATCGGTGGTCTGGAGATATCGGTGGTCTGGAGATATCGGTGGTCTGGAGATATCAGTGGTGATATCAAAAGTGATAGCAGTGGTGATATCACGCGGCACAGCACATCTGCACAGTTTGTGCAGGGTGTGAAACCAGGGGTTGGAATTCATTTGCCACCACTGTAGCTACTGGTGTAGATGTGCATGTATGTGCATGTATGTGCATGTATGTGCATGTATGTGCTGTTTAGCATGTCAGATTTGTACATGTACATTTGAATTCTTTATTCTCACGATGGCACCATCGCCAATAAGAGACACACGCATACATGCAATAGAGGTTGTGTGATTACATCATCAGTGGAGATGCTTTTGGCGAAGTATTAGTTGCAGCACTGCACTGCGCTAACGACTCACGTTGCATACATAGCACCAAGAGTCCATAAACAAGAGTATGCAACTGTGATCTCTTTTCTATGGGCCAGATGCGCGGCGCGCTGCCTTCATTACATCATTCAGCTGCAGTCCGCGCACTGCGGAAAATCAAACACCGCACTTTTCCTCTGGTTTGAAATGAACTTTCGTACGGAACTGGAGTTCACGCGCCAGAATTTTGAGATTGCATAGGTACTGGAACGAATCGAGCAAAAACAGATTGGCTCGTACGAGAAATTGTGAGTTTGAATGCATGCTTTCAGAGCGTGATGAAGGCAAGTTACGTAATGAAGGCAAGTTACGTAATGAAGGCAGCGCGCCGCGCACTGACCCATAACCACAGTTGCATACTCTTGTTTATGCACTCTTGATAGCACCCATAGGCAATTCCGCTGTATACTTTGTGCCCATAACCTGTTCCGCTGTATACTTAGCGCCCATAAACGGAGACTCCCTCGATTTAGGCTAAGGCCTGTGGAGAATCCATAAATAAATACAACAAAAACATAAGCTGTTCCGCTGTATACTTAGCACCCATAAGCTGTTCCGCTGACTGCCCGTCGTGAAATCACTCACATGTATGTAGGGAGGCTACCGTCCTCCTCCTTCCTCCACCCTTTTTCTTAATTAACCTCATTATCACATTCGCTTCCATGTAATTGGGCTTGTAGCCCGTGTGTACTTGCGAATTCAAATAAAAATATACATACATGTGAGTGATTTCACGACGGGCATAACCTCAATAGGTAGTGGTATGAGTTGTTACTGACCAGTGTCGACTGTTTGCACATGCATCAACACTACTAAATACAATAGCTCCTTTCCCCTTTTCATTGTATCTGGCCAGCACCGCTTCTGCCCTGGTGTCATGATAGGACTCATCCTAGCCGACAATCTCACAGATAGCCTGACACACGGGTGACAAAATGATGCGTGATAATCTCACTGATGGCCTGACACACAGCAGCAGAGTATCACCTGTAGGTGACTGCTGGCACTGGATACTGGAGAGTGCGCCATTTCTCTCCTCATGTTGTAGTGCAGGCTCTATGCTGTGCTGGTCACTTGCCCAGTTTGCCTTGTACTTTCGGAGTGCAGTTTGTCTTTGCTGTTGCTGCTGTTGCTGCTGCTATGGGCTCTGAAGTAGCGTGGTTTTGTTACGTTTTGATGAGGGCTTCTCAACTCTAACTGTTGCTGTTCAGTTCATGTATGTCTGATTGGGGCCTTTGCTGCATGGTGCTTCTTGTGCCTTTTCAGTGCCATGTACAGATTCTCCGTAGTAGAATTAAACTTTCAGTATGCTATCCAGTTTCGTGTCCCGGGTATTCACACATCATTCTTGAACCAAATTCCGAATTCTGTGCCACCTGTTATTACACCCTGTATATCATTTTCAGAACTTTCAGAATATTCTCAGTTTCACTAACCTCTGCATCCTATTCTTCTGTACTCTATGCTGTAGGTTTTCATGGTTGGAGGTACATATTTTCTCACAGAGTGCTATAGCGTACAGTTTGATCGACGGCGGCAACAGGATCGACTGGTGGGTAAATCTGTGTTGCTGCTGCTGCTGTCGCTACTACTGCTGCTGTTACTGCTGCTCGTGTTTGCTAGATTAAGACACACATCACCTGCATTGGACAAACGTATGTGTTCGGGGTGAGGTACACCGCCTGGGTCCAGCCACACGCTGGTCACGGCAGTTCACACCACACAAGCATGATGCCTCACTCACGCAAGGGTCAACTTGTGTGTGTTTGGCATTGTCGACGGATTTTTCTGTGCATGTACGGCTCAATGAAATGCAACACTCGCAGAGAAACGAATGCCGCTACATTCTGTAATGTGATGCATCGACCCGAGTACGTAGATGAAGGGAACGAGTCTTGTTTCGAATAGGGTGATATTTAAAAATCGTCTCATTTCGTATAATGTTCGAGGAGGGGGGGGGGGGGGGGGGGGGGGGGGGCAGATTCTATTTCATTTGTTATGCTGGTGGCAAAATACATGTAGACCTTTGTCGTATGAGTGGCATAACTACTCTGCCTAGGATGCATGTACTAGTATTATATCAGTAAGCATGTGCATAGTCAATCTGGTATCAATTGAACTGATCTGCTTGGGCGGCCCCGAAATGGCAAGCATGCATGGATGATCGTCAAAGGGTATTATTAAAGGCAGAAGCGACACATTTGCATCTACCCTCCAGGGGTTGGAATCTGTGAGGTTTTGCTTTGAGCCATGTCCACAAACCTATGTCCTCCAGGCACATCACCACAAGCACAAGACTGGCACTTACTCTAATATCAGAAATGTTAGGTATGTCTACTATGAGGACAAAAGACCAGATTCGGTGAACACATATTTCTGGTAGAGGAGACGGTTTCAAATAGGAACGGTTTGACAGCAAAATTGTGAAGACCCAAACCGATCATCAGCGTGGATTGTTCACTCGAAATATGTTTGTGGAAGGAAACTGGCATGTTGAAGTTTGCTCTGAGGCCAGAGTCGATCGAACTGAGCCACTCCTTTGTGTTGGCCCGTTACCTCCAAGTTGCCCGATTTTTCGTTTCAAATCAGAGGTGGCTCCAAACCGGAAAGGTTTCAGAGTGCACGTCAAATTCACTTTGAGTTCTGAAATTAGGTCATTGCTATCGCTCCACGACGACCAGTACAGAGCAACAATAAGCCTTGTGTGTGCTTCCATTAGTTTTCATTGGTATACAGTGCTTTATTGGCGAGAGGTGAGCCGCTGTTTACCTGCGACAAGAAGTTGATTTTTCGAAAGACGTTAAACTCAAGTCGCACTGCGAAGCAACACGTCAAAAACTCACCTGCTTGGTATGGCGCTTCTGGTCATCGCAGAGCCATGAAATTTTGGCTCTGAGTAAAACACATCGTAGTCTCACTGTGACATATGTTTTCTATTCAAAATACCAAGAGAGAAAGTGAATATTGAGCCCGTTTCGGTTTGCAACCTATTTCCTATTTGAAACCGTCGCCTCTACAGAGAATCAGTTCCCTATTGGATGATTGTGAGCTTTTGCCGATTTTTTAGGAGTAATGCGCTGAAAGTACCCAAACTAAAACGTACACCGAAAAATGTGTGAAATTGCAGTATTTGGAAGACGTTATTTATGTCTTGCATATTGGAAAGTACAAGTTTGTACTTTTTCTCCTACACGTAGTGGAATGGGTTTCTGCATTGCCTTGTTGAATTTACTTAGTACAGGTCTACCCTCGTTAGTAGATAACCCCGGGGTTTCAAATTGTTTGTCTTATATTAACCGAGAATTATCTACTAGCCAGACGTGATGTACGCGTTTCAGGCGTCAGGGGATTTTTGATCGTTGTCTACTTCTGTAAAACGGCTAATTTAGCGACGGTGATATTTTAGCAACTTTGGCGAAAGGAGTGTTTTCGCTAAAGTTTTGCCACGCCAATCGAAATTTTGCATGTACAGTAAGTACGGTACTAATCATCCTTATTTTTAAAGTGTGAAACTCAGATCGCAAAAAAATGTTTCATTGTGAATTGGTCCAGATTCGGAAAACACTAAACCTTTTACCTGCTAACATTAGCCGTTCTACAATAATGAGGTCTATCTTGTAACCGATGATGTCGTGCTACGAGGGTAGACCTGTACAGGCACCCTTGTTTGAACCCAGCTTTAATTAGGATTTGAAAAGACGTTGCAGTCGTTCAAATAATTGTGTGCGCTCACATGGATTATTTTCTTGATGATTGTGTTTGTTGTGAATCATAGGGTTTCATGGGTCTGTGCCCTTTGCTTTGTTTTGTGTCTGTCGTGCACAGGACAAAACCGAGGAAATGGTATCTGAGATTCGCAGGGAAAACAAGGCGAAAAAGACAATCGCCATTAATTCCGAGGACGACTTGGAAAAGACACGGCAGGTGAGTCAGCTCTGCTTTCTTGTGATCTTGTACTTTGCATTATTACAGGGTGCGACAGAGCTCTCGGCCATTGAAGAAAATGTTGAGTCACCTCCACCATTACACTGCGCTCTTTAGCCGACTAGACCTTCCTGCACACAACCATCACCATTGCGAGGACACTTCTGTAGACGATATTGATAAACTCCTTCAGACAGCTGTTTCGCTAATACATAGCTCATCACTCATCAGTGAAGGTAGATGTTGAATGATTAAAAATATAGACCAAACTGCTATTATATAAGGTTTCCACATACAAAACTGGCATAGCTGAGCTGAGGTGATAACGCGGGACAGGGAAATCCGGAGGACGCAATACCATACAACCAACTGTTTGTTTCTACCAGCGTTATTGTACCGTCGACACAGCTCTGATGACGATATACTGGGCGAATGCCGCGGGGCCTCCCAGCGTGTCAGCGGCAGTGGGTGATGGGCAGATAACAAGGTAGCTTGCGGATAACATCGGTGGCATGAAGCCTAGTGACTGCCAAGCGTCTTGGCGCGACGAGTACAGTGTCATGCCCCAGGGGCTGCTGTGGCTGTCGACGTCGGCGAGTCGGTAGGTGCGTTTGCAGGCCTTCATGGCGCTCGGACAAGTGCGATACACAGACTCTCACTAGCTACGCAGTACACTGGTTCTGGCACGTTATTTCTGCATTTTGATAGTCATAGTGATTGATTTTTCGCGCCGAATTTCTGACGCTGCATGCATGTCCCATGCGCGTCAACAGTACTTCACACTTTCCCTTTCCCGCGTTATCACCTCAGCTATGCCAGTTTTGTATGTGGAAACCTTATATAATAGCAGTTTGGTCTATATTTTTAATCATTCAACATCTACCTTCACTGATGAGCTATGTATTAGCGAAACAGCTGTCTGAAGGAGTTTATCAATATCGTCTACGGAAGTGTCCTCGCAATGGTGATGGTTGTGTGCAGGAGGGTCTAGTCGGCTCAAGAGCGCAGTGTAATGGTGGAGGTGACTCAACATTGTACTTTGCTTCAAAATAATTATAATATTGCCTAGATTTGACCACCCATGTGGCTAGCAGTATTCCCCCCCCCCCCCCCCCTCTCCCCCTTCTTGGGCTGCTTCTTGTTCCTGTGCACCCCCCCCCCCCCCCCCCTCTCCCCCTTCTTGGGCTGCTTCTTGTTCCTGTGCATCTGACCTACTGTAAGTCTACAAATTTTCAGCCCATTCAAATTTCAGCCTCCCAGGGCTAAAACACATTTCGGCCCCATTAAATGTTCAGCCTGTACTGCTGCTGCTGACTGTATCACTATCACTGTCACACTGAAACTTGCAAAACAATTTTTTTTGGTCGATTCACATGGCTTCGCCAGTTGTGTGGATTAGACAGTTATCTGGCGCTTGTCTTGATCTGTTTCGATCAGAATCAGATCCGCTATCGTTGCTATAAAGGAGAAAACCTGTGGGTGCACATCCAGTGCATTTGCAGATTTGCGTGTTTCTCTTGTGACGGGCGTATACATGGTACATGGTGTGTGTGTATGTGTGTGTGTGTGTGTGTGTGTGTGTGTGGGTGTTGCTCAGTTTAGACTGTTGTGCAGTATAGTTTATTAATATGTTATTGCCAATGTGTAAAGTCTGCTGTTATTATATTCTCTTCTGTCTGTCTGTCTGCCACCAACCCCCCTCTACAGGAAATGGTTGGGCAGTTCAAACTGGAAACGTATGATATTGTTCGCGGTCCTCGCGAGTGGGAGGAGGGTACCACCGAGCGTGTTCAGGAGCTTTATGATCAGAGAATGAAAGAGATTGAAGAGGCGCATAGAGCCGAGGAGGAAGGGGCAGCAGCTGCACAAGGATCCTGAATTGCACCAGCCCAACGTATAGCTTGTGTCAACACGCAGTGCTTCGGCACTTTGTTTGCCCTCTACAGCGGCTTGTTCAGTCATGCGCCCAACAGGGCATGCAAGATTCTCATTGTCGTGATCGACAGAGCAGTAGCTGCGAGAAGGCAATGTTGTGTGTTTCATGCAGACTTTGTCTCCGCACTGGCACACACCTTCGCAGCTTTGATGCTGAACAGGTGATGTGTGTATCTGACTATCTGGTGTTGTCCGAGATCACCAGTACCACTGGTAGTGAAAGGAATGGTCGTGTGAACTGTTGCTGATGATCTTGATCTTCCGATGACGAGTGCCAGGAGAACTGCTGCGCCTGCTCCTGTTGCTACATGCAGATGTGTCTGAATGACGACATGGTGAGACACAAGGTGTTCTCCTCATCACCTGACCTTTCCAACGGGATTTCTCCTTTTGCACATCTCTCTCTGGGTTAGAATTTGTTTTCTACTTACTGTAGTACTTTTTATATACTACTTCTATCAGTTACAGCATTGGGTTGGGTATACTACTTCAGTACTTCTATAGTATCATATCAGATTTGAATACAACCTGCTTTTGTCAATTGGGCGTTGAAAGTAGCAATTCCTAGAGAACTATTATACTTATTTATAGCACTGATTCTTGATTCAATTTTTTTGTAACCTGCATCACAGAGAATCTTTGCCCCGCATTACCATCACCAGCGTTTGACTGAGACGGGGCAAGAACAGGGACGGAAAGAGTGCTGTTGCGTTGTGCTTTTCTTTTCGTGCCATCAGTATAAATTCTTCTGCAGCAACGTAGGGAGCTCCTCGGCTGCAGGTCATTCGCCGTCCTCTCCCCTTCCCCGGAAATAGTCGCCACCATATTACTCCAGGCATGAGAAATTAAAAAATTGAAATACGAAGTAGTCGACGATTCATGAATTACTATGAAAGCTAGATTAATTCTAATGCAGACAAATCACTGGAAAAGCACGACCTCCAGTGTGGGGAGTAAACCCTTTCCTAACTAATCACAGATTCCTGTCAAAAATTCAGTCCCGAAACGGAAGCGAGCAAATATGCTGACTACCTCCACACATTGAACTGTCCATGAACCCTAAATCAATGGGTGTCATGGATACAACAAGATTTTAGGGTTAAGTGTGGCATGCAGGCGGGCCGAAACAACAACAACAACAACAACGACTACAACAACACCACCGGCCATCGTAAGAATAAAGTTATGAAACAACACTACGCATTTGCCTAAGTCTGGACATCTCCCCCCCCCCCCCTATGCTTTCACCGAGGAAAAAGTAGTATAAACGAGAAACACTGAGAGTCACTAGGTAGATCGGAAAATGGGAGCAGCTAGAAAAGGTAGGTTGATAAGTCGAAGACACTTTGATGGCAATGAATTGGCCCTGGGACGTAGCCACAGCCATGTGGGGATAGGGCGTAAGCAGGGAGAGCAGCCATCTCACACACTATTCTGCTGCGGTTGTCGGTTGTCGATGGTAGCTGCTGGAACTAGCTGGGGGAATGGAGTTAGCCGCGGCGCACCGGGCCAACAGCACATTCATGCTATAGACAATACCGTTACCAGTTGCCGCTGGGTTGTACTCAGACCCAGAGAGCCAGTTATCTGTGCACGCAATGACAAGAAGTAAAGCAAGGAGTCAGGAACTGCACAATACGGCCAAGTTCACCAACGCTTGATATATGCAGTCACCGCCAAAGCCTGGAAATCCTGTCAGACAGTATAGACAAGTCGTGTGCTCGGTGAAGACGTTAAACGAGTGTATATCTCGTACCAAGCATCCTGTCCTTGTTTTTATTTAACCTCTACTGCGGTGCTCGTCAAATTAGAAAGGCCGAACATTGCCGGTAATTGCATGCAGAACAGCGTTTCTGAAACGAGACTGAAATAGTGACAGCAACTTTGGTGATTACGATGGACTAGTTCTAGCAAGGAATCCAAACCATTCTACTCACTAGACTATAGGGCAGTTTTTACATCAATGATTGGATTGGACTTAGAATATCAAGAGCACAATCGGTGTGCATTGGGTAATTTGCCAGAAACTCACTTTAAAAATGGCCATGCACGGTGCATGCTTCGGTTTTCAGATGGTAGATCGGTGGACGTGGATGCACTTCCAGCTGCCGTCAGGTGCCCGCTGCCAGTTGCGCGTCACAGCATACTGTGTTGAGGTGACATTCCCACCGCCCTCTGGTGCCTGCTGCACCACTAGGCAGTAGAGGACGGAGGCAAAGTCATCGGCGTACATATGAACCACCGGCTGTACTATGTTGGTGGAAATGTTGGAGGGCTTGAAGTTGTCAAAGTGGAACTTGTGATGATCCAATCCCTGCAATGTACCATGCACACACACATGGACACACACACACACGCACACACATACACACACATGTACACATATGCACATGCACACACACACGCGCGCGCACACGTGCACACATACACTCATCACGAACCATGAACACATGTTGCGAGAGAAGCACACAACCCTGCAATGCACCAGCTGGACACCAGGAAATTTTCTTGCCCGACAACAAGTGTGGACAAGATAGGAATGAAACCGAGACTCACAGCAGATGCAGTAAGTGCTTGCCGCGCGAATAGGCCCCATGCACACCTGATCAGCACCAGTCTACTGTGAGTACAAGGGCGTCGGAACCGCACCGGCCGGGGCGGCCATGGCCGCCCCACTTTTTCGGCCGTTTTTTTTTAGCACACTGCAACAAAGCACGATGATCTCAGCGCAAACGTGGCAAATCCTTGTCCCCGATCGTGGTTTGTTGCAGAATCAAAAGTCCATGTACACTGAAATGACACCAAATGCCTGGGAATGCTTGCAATTGGCTTCATTTTTTTCCCCGGGGGAGGGTAATGTTTGTCCCCGATCGTAGCATCTTCTTGGTTTTTTGCAGAATCAAAAAGTCTTTCATTGTAGTTACCGTACACTGAAATGGCACCAAATGCCCGGAAATGCTTGCAATTGGATTCAATCAATAAAACTAGCTGAACCGACATTTGTGTACTTTATTCATGCAATGTAAAAACGGTGGAGACGATGTGCAATAAAACGATGAAAATAATATAAATTATTATGAAGAAATGGTGTAGGGAAAAAATATGGATTCAAACAAGTTTTTTTTTACATTGCATGAATAAAGGACACAAATGTCGGTTCAGCTAGTTTTATTGATTGCGGTTATCAAATTATTGTCTCCTCGCCGTGTGTTTAAATTGGCTTCAATTTTGAATTTTTTTCCCGGGGGAGGACCCCAGACCCCCCCCCCCCCCTTCCATGGCCGCCCCACCTCCAAAGTCGGTGCGACGCGCCTAGAGTACACCAGGATATCACGAGTAGATACAGATGCACACCTTGACCTTGCTGGGCTGGAAAAGGCACACCGTGCCACTGTTCACACACACACACACACACACATCTACCCTGTACACCCAGCAAGTGGCTTTGCAAACGGTTGCAGTCGACAAGAACAGTAACAGTAGCATGCTGTACAGCACTGGTGAGAAACAAGCAAACACTGTGACACAGATTGCATACTCGTGAAACCTACCTTGATGGCACGTGCATTCTGTCCGGGCAAGAACGAGGAGCAGTCCCTTGTCGACAGCGCTACAAACGCATTCCAGTCACCAGTCCACCATGCGGTCACGATGCTCTCAGTCCGCTGGATGATCTCCTCACCGCCGGGTGGCACTTTGTCCTCTTCCTCCTCGGGCTGCGGGGACATCAGCAGCGGTGACTCGCCGGTCTCAGACGTCTTCTTCTTGAGACCGAGAAGAGGCACCGACAAACGCCGTGCAACAATAGTACTCCTGTCGTCAGAATCCATAGCGGCAACAGAGCAGCCAATAGCAGATCAGCATACACAAAGCCAATGTCAGATGACAGCCGAGTGCCGCCACTATACTTGTAGTGATACAGTGACTAGCAACAGTAAAAATTGGGGAACTTCCATTAATCTTTATCTAGGAGAGGTGACTTGCACGGTTCCAGAGCAGAATAATACCAAGGAAACTATCTCAGCACTCAGTCACCTCACAAATGGAGTGATCGAACGTTAGTGTTGCAGTTCTATTGTTAGACCCAGAGTACAAGAGTACAAGAGCTGATTTACTCTTGGATATACCTGTACACACACTACACGCTAGCAGGAGTACATAACCGGGTTATGTACTCTTGACGTTAGTGAGAGCACCGCGTCACGTTGCACCTGTTTGCCATACAGCAGCAGCGCCAAGAAGCTTTTATTAGCGCGGTTTCTGATAGTGCCAGCGAGGACCGTGCTCTGCGGGAACTGGCACCGAGAAAATAGCAGCAGCTAAGACTGCGGAGAAGTCCATCTCACTGTTACGCCGCAGTCAATGCTGTGCTAGCTCCTGCACGACTGTATCTTCTCACCATCCCTGACAGTCACAGCCCATGGAAGAGGTGCCACCATTTACTCGCCACCTTCTCAAGTGTTTGCAGCTCACCATCCAGTGCAGGGTTGGTCAACATGAGCCAATATCATCACCCTATTTTCCCGATGGTAAATCGCACTGGATTGTAAGTCGCACTCTCCATTTCCAGGTCCATGTCATATCGTTTCAATATAATCACTTCAGTAGTAATCATGCTCAATTGTAAGTTGCACCCCCTTTGTTGGCCCTGAAGTTAAGTGTTAGAAAGCGTGACTTACATTCAGGGAAATGCGATAATTGTGAGGTGTGATCTTGCGACTGATCAGAGTTAGTGTTACTCGAAAGGCATAGTATCCACAGCAACGTCGTGCAATCACTGGCGCGCCATGTCCCCAGTCGAAGTCCGCTGATGGAACTGTGAGTAGCAGCTGACAGGTCTACAGTGCAGTGCGCAACGTTGGTTGGCTAGTGTGCCTCACCTGGGTGCTCCGCTAGCACCGCCACCGGTGCACTTTTCACACAATGTCAGCGCATGCATATAGTGCCTAATCAATTCATACTCCTCGCATAATTCATTGTCTTTGGCCGCATTATTACACAAAAAAATGAGATCAGGCACGGGGAATCGGGGATAAACCTGAACATGTATCATTATACATGACGATTGTATTGAATTAGTTCCACCTCCACCATACACACTCTCTGGCCAACCTTATTCATACCAACAACATGACTCCAAGTTTACCCGTGTATTGCGTTTCTTATTCCGGAATTACCACCTACAACACATATATACTGAGTACTGGAAAACCGGGAATTTTCGGTGGTGTAATATGTTAGGTATTTCCCAAAATCAACGGTTCACCAGAACAAAAATTTCAGTAAACCAGTTTTCCAGATTCAAAAATGCATTTTGCACACTGTGTGGCATGGCATTGTAGAATTTTGGGTCGCGTTTAATTTTAGGTAAAAATTACCTGTTCCGAAGTTACCGAAAATAAATCTCCACCGAAATTTTCCAGTTTTACAGTTCTATACTGGTTCTGAAGTCTTCATTTTGGGCAACGATAAATCGATTAATTCTTTTTCCCTTCGGAGGATGGTACCAGCGGAAAGGACGGAAGGCAAACCTTTGACGACTATTCCACCAATACTCATAACTCAGCAATATTCACAGCTAATACTGATTGGTGACTGGCAGCATCCTGCCTATCATTAACAGTGAATTCAGCGGAAACTGGTCACTTCGAATAAATCAACAGAAAACAGAGCACACAGCGATTTAACGTGCCGCGGACCGGATTAATGAGACATGGAGACATGTGTGAACGGCTTTGATCACTCATCGGGGATGCAGAAGATATCAACCGTAGGATGCAACAACCATCAGTTGCATTTAAAGGCATACATCTTCCCAATACGAACTATAACATGTCAACATGGGGTTCAAGTCAATCCGGCAACTGAATTCCGTAGATTCATTCCATCGCCAACAGTTGTGAAGTGTGATCGGCATCCAATATCCCCAGGTGATCAAGAACGAGGAGCTCTGCCGGCGCACCGACAGTGTCCCAATCAGCACTCTTCTCCGGGCCTCAAGGTGGAGCCTTCTGGGCCACATCTTGCGCTTGGATGAGCGGACCCCAGCACAAGTGGCTGTGAAGGCATACCGGTACCTCTATGGTGATGGTGATGCCACCGGAAAGTACAGAGGCAGGCCCAGGTCCACTCTGCCCATGGTCCACCAAAGTATGACCTTACGGAGGTTGGTATTCCCCTCAAGAGTGTGCAGGGCTCTGAGCAGATGAGGTACAGGGCCCGGAATCGGCGGGCATGGCTGGCCATGTATCGTGCTGTTGAGCCTCAGAGCCGCTTGAGTGATGATTGCTTCTGAGCCGAAGCACACGGACAGTGGTTCATGGAAGGTGCCAATCGTGGCTTGTCTAGGATAATTATTTGAAATTCTAAAGCAGCTGCGATGTAATGACTGGAGCTCTGCAGTTCCAGATAGTAGTAGTGGCCACGGAATCAGGAAGTTGCTCACCAACATCTGAGTAAAAGTTCTACTCCCTGCAGTAACCATTAGAAATTGCTGATCAAATGCCAAGCAAGTGGCCATTTCCGCACATTCACTTGAAGTATTTATGCTCCCGAGACAATCCATGCACAAAATAACCAATTTTTCATTTCAAATGAATTTTTTCTGTTTGGTACTATTCGAATGTCCCATTAGTAGTCATCAAAGGGAGTAATGTAACCCCAGTGCGTCGAGCATTTTATCAACTTCAATTTTAACCACAATCTTCATCTCATTGCACTCTATCAAAAGGGAAGAACATTTTGCACCCCCCCCCCCCCCCCCTTTCAACTTACAGAATAGCCCCCTTGAGCTTTCTTCTGGCGTTGAGTCGCTTCAGTCCCTCGATCGTCGTCTGCCGATGGATCTTGGCGGCAACTCTCTCGCGATTCTGGATCCATGGGTGGTTGAGCGCTTGTTCGGCGGTGAAGCGTTTGTTCGGGTCCAGCACCAGCAGGCTGTCAATTAACGACTTGGCACTCTGTGTGACCGTATCCCATTCTGGCGATGGGTAATCGTACTGTCCACTCTTGATCTGCGCATAGAGCTTGTTCTGATCCTCGTCCCAGAACGGCGGATAGCCAACCAGCAGAATGTACAGGATCACTCCGCACGCCCACAGGTCGATGGGCTTGCCGTACGGATAGTGGAAGAGAAGCTCCGGGGACAGGTATCCCGGCGTGCCAGCAAAGCCGTGCCAGCGATAGTCGTTCGAGCCATCCTCCAACTCAATCGCTAGGCCGAAATCGGCCAGCTTCACCACGGCACTCTTGCTGCGACTGGAAAGCAATAGATTTTCTGGCTTTAAGTCGCGGTGCACCACGGATCTGTTATGGCAATAGCGAACACTCTCCAGGATCTGCTGAATGCAGTTGCTGGCGTCTCTCTCTGAGTAAAACTCTCTGGCTACGATATCCTCGAACAGCTCGCCGCCTGTGACCAAGTCGAACACCATGTGGTGGCTCTGGGCGCGACGAACGCGTTGTGCATACGCACGATGAACTCGTGCTCCAGCTTGCGGCATATTCTCACTTCCCTTTCCAGCTTCTGCAGGTCGCGAGCGGAAACTTTTCTCGTGTCCACCACTTTGGCGGCGAAGTCCTTGCTGTCGGATTTACGCGTACAACGTCGTACCACACTGAACGCGCCACGACCGATTTCTTCGTGGATGTCATACGTGTCCTGAAAGGACGGACCTGATGCCATTTTCTATCCGAAAGTGACGGTGGGTCGTATGAAAGAGATTGACGGAGCCAAATAATTACCGACCAGGGCCTATTACGACCAACACAACGCCAACGGTTCGTTCATAGCACTAAACCACCATAGCCACGTCAACGCTCACTACACTACACTACAGACAACACAAGGACAAGAAAGAGACAGTCAAAGATAGCAACAGAGACTGAGTGAGAGACCCAGAGAGAAAGAGAGCTGGAGTTCCCTTTTGAAGTTTTGTAGAGCCTCGTGCATGTGGAGGCTCAACATAATTTTTGTCTGTGTATGTATGTGTCAACGCACTAAGTGACTTGCTTGGCATCATGCGCGCTAGCGCTCGCGCCAGGTGACATGATCATGACATGAGCATGATGAGGGCGCATACCGCCTTTACCGGTGCTAACAAGTAACAGCAGGCATAGCCAATCCGGGTCTCGCAGATTTGCGGCCTCGATAACACTGGGTGTTGCACGTACAGTACTACAATGTACTACTGAGTCTGTCATGTAAAATTATCGGTTTGGTCTGTCGTTGTGGCCCAGACACTGCCATGCGTAACATAACCATGATTTTATCCGTAGACCTACCCCACAAACAAGTCTAGGGTCAGTACAGCTGTAGTAGGATCAACGCAGGATCTGCATGATCAGGAGCAAGGCTAGGCTGCGATGCGTGAAATCATGTCACAGAAAGGGTGATAAAGACACTGGCTTCACGACACCGACTCAGTGCAGTGCAGCAAGAAACGCGTAAAACACGTGCTATGCAGAGCCTGTCCGGCGTCCGTGTCAAAATAGAAGTGACATCCCTAGGACCTGCTACACGTAGGCCCTTGCCCTTGGCTGCGCCTGTGGCTGTGGCTCCGCAGTAAAAATAATTAGACGTAGAACTCCGCCTTGCCTGCACCGTGCACGCTCGTACTCGTTCATCCCCATCATGTCTACACTGCCTCCTCCTCAGACACATACACACGCGCGCGCACACACACACACACACGCGCGCGCACACACACACACACACACACGCGCGCGCACACAGACACACACACGCATACACGCACGCACACACACACACACACATGTACACAAACACACTGTGACAAACACTCTGACAGACAGTCGCCATTCCACATGACAGCACAATGCTCCAGTGCGGTTCACGCCCATTTGTGTCACTCGCAGGAGAGCGGATCCACAGGCCCAGAGTCAGTTACCACGACCGTCTGTGGTCATTGACATTCTGCAGTCCCGCAAGTCATCATGGTCATACCTTTCTCTGCTACAACAGACCAGTCAGTTCATGTACATGTATACAAATTACAATGTAGATCTACGCTGTAGCCCACATTACTGGGACGCAGTGTGAAGTCATCCCGGAAGCCTATGCTGATGACACAACTTTGTACAGCTTAGTCACCTCCCAGCAGACACCAACAGTCGCCGCGCAGTCACTGCAGGTGTCCGTTGACCGACTGCACCAGTGGGGTCGTACATGGAAAGTGATGTTTGAACCGACCAAATCCCAGGCCATGACAGCCACCCTCAGACGCACCGGCTTAGATCTCCCCCCACTCCTGTTTGGTGGCACACTGGTGCCCGAGACAACCACCATCACCCTCCTTGGTGTGAAGGTGGACGCCAAGTTGACCTTCAGCGATCACCTACGCTCCGTAGCCACCCGTGCACGCCAACGGCTTGGGGTCCTAAACAGAGCCGCCCACATACTCACCCCCGCCGGCCGGACGACCGTATACAAGGCGTTCGTACGACCAGTCATGGAGTATGCGCCTCTTGTATGGATGGGAGCTGCGCAGAGTCACCTCCAGCGTCTGAACAATGTTCAGCGCCGCGCGCTTCATGCTATCGGCCCTGGGGCACACCTACTCAGCCTGGCCATCCGCCGCACTGTTGCCTTGCTTGCCTGCCTGTACAAGCTTCACTACTTGCCTGGCCCTCCGCAGCTGCTCTCTGTGTTGCCACCGCGCCACATCATCTCTACCAACCCCAGAACTCGCAGCGAGCACGGTGCTGTCAGTGGCCATGACCACCAGCTCCAACACCAGCTGCCTGCATCTGCCCCGCTGGCACTGAAGCGCTCGTTCCCACACTGCAGCATCAGCGGTTGGAACTCCCTCCCTGCCGCTCTCTTATCCCAGCCTCCCCACAGCAAGAGAATGCAATCATTCAAAACGAATGTTTACCGCCATCTTCGCAGCACAAACTGGCTCTGCATCTGGGCAGTCGATTCCCTATGAATAGTATTATTATATGATGCTAAGACAGTTTCTCCCCCACAATCGCTCGTGTTAAGCCTTGGGTTTTTGCATCTTTCTTACCTGTACAGCTCTCACGGCTGTTACGCATGCATTGAATGCGGCCAGAATCCTCTGGGCACGAGGCCGCAGGTGACCTGCTGAGAATGCGTTGAGGACCTCTTGACATGTTTGAAATTTGTCCTTGACAGCCTCATTGTTTTAGGGAAGTATCTCACGAGTTGCCGTCGTGTTAGGGGCCCCGAGTATTGTTTCAGGCCGATTACTACGAAGATTTTGGTGTTTTACACTCACGTGCAGCTTGTTCTCTCAAAAGAAATTGTCGAAGTCGAAATAGTTGTCCGTGCCGGATCGTTCTTCTTCTTCTTGTGCTTCACTGTGTGGATGTCATCGATGGTCTCCAGCAACTTCTGGCAGCTATTAGTGTGGGTGCCTCGTTTTTGTAAACTTCAGTTCTTGTTGGAGTACGAAGGTAAGGTCTTTATGTTGTGTGAGGAGTCGTCCTCGTAGCTTTACGCTCCTTTACGATTGTTTTTTCAGGCCAGTTTGTAATTGCCTGTCTAAAAATATAAAATACCAAAAACAATCTTATGGATAGGCATAGGGAGCTACTTCGCCAGATGTGCCGTGTTAGTGGTTGTAAGTTTAGTAATATAGCGAAGAAAGGCGTCTCTAAGAAATATGCTGTGTCGGATCATATTACTGAGTTAGAATCTTGTTTTCCAACTATTAAAAAAGACCAAAAAAATGCTGATGTATATCCTGAATTATTTTGTGCGTCATGCATGGCAGTTGTACGACGGTATAAGAATGCTCAGGAGAATAAAGAGAGGTATGCAAGGATTAGTGGGGGGGGGGGTGTGGGGGGGGGGGGCAATGAAACTGTGGGAGGCACAGGATAGTAACTGTAGTGTTTGTGGGTCGGGTGTGATTGGACGACCGCCCAAACTTGCAAAATGTGAGGTGCCGTTTGCAAAGCCATCACCCATCCCCATCAGCACCACCCTGACTCCTGTTGACAATGTCACCGAAAAAGCGACTGGTAGCTTGAAAACTGGTGCTGACCTTGTCCCAAGTCGCTTTCGTGAGCAGCATGAACAATAATTGTTTATTAATGTGTGGCATTTGTTCGTTGTTTGTAGACGCTGCTCTGGAAACACCATGCTGCAAACATTTGTTTTGTGCGAAGTGCATTTCATGTTGGCTGGAGCAAAGCACGAAATGAAGATGCACTTTGTCTAGATAATTTAGTGTCACCACATACTATTGTGGCTGACATCATCAAGCAGTCAGTCTTGAAGTGCGATTTCTACGAGGCGCCGCTAACAGGCTGCCCAGTGCAGGTGAGGCTTTGCGACCTAAAGAGCCACGTTGAGAATTGTTCTCACAACCCAAGCACCCCCCCCCCCCCATCCACTCCTATTCAGAGAGTAGTGTCTGAATCCTCCACCATTGGTGATGTTCTAGCCGCTTCCCTGGGAAAGTGTTTGATGCCCTGACTAAACGTGTTGTCGAGAGCAGTGCAGAGGGTGACAGACTTGAGAGTTGAGGCCCGTGGAGGTGGTGGCTCTCCTGCTGTTTGGACCAGCACCCCGGTTACAAGGGTGTCTTCCACCAATTGCAGTGGTCGTACTGCACGGAGACGGTCATCCATGACGTCCTCCTTTACACATTGCAGGAAAAAGTGTTAAGTGATCTCTGTTCTGCACCCGCACATGTCATCTCCAAGAGAGCAGAGGCTAGTGCAGAAGGTGCGAGTGCAGGACAGAGAGATCAAATGATGTGTTTAGTGCAAGCTGCTACTGTTGTTAAGGACCGCTATGTTTCATTATTTTCTAAATTTGCAGCTTGTCATGTAGGATTATCCACCAGTGTAAGTCCGAATGTTAACTCGCTCTCACAACTGCGTGCCAATATTTCTGTTTTTCTTGCAGCTTGCCGCAGGAAGTTGTCTCGCGTGGTCGTGGCAACGTCACACCAAAGCTTCACCTTCTTGAGGCCCATGCAGTCAGCTGCTTGGAAAATTTACAAATGGGCATGGGGCTACTGAATGAGCAGGGGGCAGAGTCCATCCATGCTGCCTTCAATCAGCTGGAGCGAAATCATTCCTCCATACGAAACACGGCTAACCGGCTGTATGCATGTGCACAAGCACACATCTTGAATGCGCTGCCACAGCACACTCTGCTTCTGCCACGGACGCAGAGACGCAAGCGTAGCAGAGAGCCCTGAACATAGCACTAGTACATTCCGACGACCACGTGTGTTGTGCGTTATTTTGTGTGCGTCGTGTGTACGTGGTGTTGGTGCATGCGCGTGTTGCGGTGGTGTGAAAAGCAGTCTTCGTTATTACAAGACGACTACGGAAAAACAACTGGACATGACGAACTCAAGACGAAGACTGCTTTTCACACCACAGCAACCTGGCAACACACGCATGCACCAACACAACGTAAACACGACGTACACACAATAACGTACTACAACACATATACACGTACTACTACTTCTACTATTGTAGCTTATTTCCAGCCTGAGGTTGTTGGTGCACAGCAAAATTCCATCCTCTGTGCTGTGCCAGAGCTTCAGTTTGTATCACTGTGGAAGCGTGTGAGTGGCGGGTTTCCTCAGGCTGGCAATTCGCTGCATCACTGCAATATGCTTCTACTGTTAGTGTTATAGCTCCAAGCAGTGACTACAGGTACCGGGTATTAAAGCTCGAGGAGGGCAGGTAATAATCACAATGGTCATGCTTCGTACGATTGGTCGTTCCGAGATCCTGGGCTGACCCCATGTGTTGATTCCATAGAACCAGCGCTGCCAGTGTCCCTCAACTAAACTGGCAGTCCGTTCAAAGTTTAGACAGATGAAGCACTACACCATCTACTTTTATTTCTGTTCAAAATATCCAAGAAATCACAAAGTACAATTCCATGAACGAGATGCTTCGAAGACGAAAACAAATCCAATGACAATGTTCAATGCT